TCTTTTATAAAATTGGTATGAAAATCTACATAGTTGAGTGTGTGATAGTGTTTGAGCAGCTGCAGCATCAGTTCAGTCACTGTGACTCTGACTGACGGAGGTTTTTGTGCCACTCTTTATCACTGTGTGAACACAACATTACTGTTGATCCTAGGCTGTTCATGTCATATATGAGGAGTTTAGGAGCTTCTCCAGGTTTCTGCAGATACCAGGAGAAACAGTCACCACAACCCCATGAACTTTCTCCAATTCCTCTGCTAGTTTGACAGTTTATAGTAACTGTTTCTCCTGGCTGAACAGCTGCTACTGAGGGAGTCTGAGTCACAGAAATTTGTCCTGTAGTTTCTGTAAATGACATTTCATATGATAATAATGGCAACAGTTATTAAAGTATCCAGAACAAAATCAGTTTTACCATCTAACATGCATATAAATCACATTTTGAGTTATTAAAAGAGCAAATGAACCTTGAACAAAAAGAATGAGTGTCCAGATACAGACGCTGATGATCATCATCTTCTTTCTGGTTGTTCTTTCAGTTAAATGTAGAAAAGCTCTCAGTGATGAAGTGTTAAACTCACAGCACTATAAACACTCTCAGAGCACTGAAGCATCTGATCAATATGCAAACACACTCCACATCATTTACCTGAAGACAGTAGAGACACACAGTTTTGCCATTTTATTTGTTCAGTATCTTTGCTGATAAATTTCCATTTCCATAAACAGGCATTTATAATGTACTTATTTTGGGTCAAGCTTCTCCCTCCAAACACCGTTTATTGTTTCATTCATACTTTGATGCTGAGAGCATTTAAAGGGGTCATATGATGTTGCTAAAAAGAACATTTTTTGTGTATTTAGTGTAATGAAATGTGTTTATGCGGTTTAAGGTTAAAAAAACATTATTTTCCACATACTGTACATTATTGTTTCTCCTCTATGCCCCGCCTTTCTGAAACGCGTCGATTTTTACAAAGCTCATCGGTCTGAAAAGCGTTTCGCTTTCACAACGAAACAGCGTCACACACAGCGGCTAGAGTGAGCGGAGGCCGGGGGGCTTGAGAACGGCGCGGCCAGCGGATTCGACGAAGGAGCGTCCGACGGGCTTGCGGCAACCACATGTGACGACCCCGGGCTGGACTCTGCTTCGTCCACAGTGAAAGCCAATCCGGCGATCCACAGCACGAAGTTGATGCATTTCCTCAGTGACCAGCACGGATCAGCTACAGGCAAGACGAAGCGGATATCGTCCTCATTTGGAAGGCCAAACAAAGTAGTTTCGCTTTCAAAAGGAAACACGCAGCGCCTTCACGACATGGCGGCGGCAGCAACAACAATACTACAGCGAGAATAAAAGTTACACCTTCTTTGTTTGCGTGAACATTTGCTTTTTTTGTACTTGTTACTTTGCACTTTTTGTTAGAAAATTTTTATTTACTATTTATAAAAAATGTTTAAGGTATCTAATATTTTGATACTTAATTTCCATGATCTAAATATTCTTAAAAATTAAAAGTTTGTTGTCATTTGGAAGTGTGTGTATGCCGCCTTGCATTATTATGCGGTTACATTATGATTATATATTCAGTGGCATAAAATGGACTTTAAAATGACAATAATATCGCTTATCGCAATTACTTCTGGGGCAATATATCGCACAACAAAAAGTTGTTATCGTGACAGGCCTACTGACAACCCTTTTTAGAGAGCATGTGTGGATCCCGCATATCACAGCGATAACCGCGAGGTGAGAAACTGTGCCGCGGCAACGGCAGAACCGGGCCATGAGACACAAACGCTTTGTCCCGCATCCCCCGGGAATAGGAACAATTGGAGTGGAGACGAGTGGAGCCTAGACACCGTGACTCATCACGATGAGCGCGTAACTCTGAACGCGTGTGCTCTATGCCGAGACAAACGCGAAAGCAGAACATGCCCTCTAGTGTTAAAATCCAAACAGGGAGGCACACATTCCCTACTGTGCGTTCACACCGCCGCCGTCGAGAGCGTCAAAGTGGCCGGAAGTCAAATACAAATTTATATAAAAATATTAAAGCGTTTACAAACTTTCACCATTTTAATTGCTTTTTGTTTCATAGAAAATCGTATAGTATCAGTATAATGCTCCATTTCCTTCCTAAAAGAAAAAAAACAAGTTTTTTTGCACGAGAACTTACATTTGTGAATATGAAATTTTGCATGTAAAAAAATAAGATTTATCATGTAAACGTGACTGTGCTTTTCTTTGCTGTTCTCCAATATACCAAATAATACATCTTTCCATAACAAAACAAAATGATTATCAATATTTTGTACAATAAAATTACATACATTTTGCCAAAATAGTTTTACAAAAGGGCAATGCCAAAACAAATGTACCACAGTTTCAGGGCAACTGACACAAAAGGAGCAACTAAAATCAATATCAGATTTAAATTTTACCAAATAATATTTGGCTGGGTAAATCCTGTGTATAATTTTGAATGATATTTCCTTAACCTTGTTTGTAATTAAATATTGATTAGGTATTAACCAAACCTTTTTCCAAACAATATTGTCTGTCAGGCGATTCCAATATGAATAAACATAAGGCAAAGACACAATGTCTCGTTGAAATAAAGCTCTTACGGAACTGTTGTGTGATTTAAGAGAAAAACAGATGTTACCTATATAAGAACTTATTATATTAGGCAGAGACCACTGTTGGATGTTAATTCTTGTCTGATGTCTAAATAACATACAAACTTCAGGAGAAATAGCCCCAAAAACTTTGGCATAGTCCCCTGGTGTAACAGGAATCTTATAATGTGCCAAAAACTCACCATAAGTAAAAAGAAAACCATTAAAATTAAATAACTGATCCACCAATATGATGCCTTTTATCAAACCAGTGTTTTAGATAAAGCGATTTGTGTTTATATAATATATCCATATTGTTCCATATATAGTACCTATGAGGTGAAAAATTGTGCTTGTGGATCAAAGACCATGATAAAAAGGCCTGACGGTGAAATTCAGCTAGTTTTCCTGGTTTTTTATCAATATTATAATTACAGCTAAGAAAAAAATGTATACCACCAAATTTTGATAGAATATGGGAGGGAATAAAACACCAAATGGAATTAGGATTTGTAACAATTTGTTTAAGCCACTTAATCTTACATGTATAATTTAATGTAGCAAAGTCCAAAACATTTAAGCCACCATTTTCATATGAATTCATAATAACTGTCTTCTTTATGTAATGTATTTTATTTTTCCAAATGAAGTCAATCAATATTTTGTCAAGAAGTCAATCAATATTTTTTTCAAGATGTAAAGCCATTGCTGCATAAATAAGTCTAGAAATACCCTCTGCCTTTGTAATTAAAACCCTACCCCTTAAAGAGAGGTCTCTTATTACCCAATGATTTAACTTTTTTTTTGTTTTTTCAATAATAGGACAAATTTAGCAAGCACCTACTTTTCTGGTCTTTGGTTATCAATATTCCAAGATATTGAACCTCATTCTTTAAGGGAACACCATCATGGCTAGTTTCGAGACATTCCTTTATGGCCATAAGCTCACATTTAGTCAAATTTAAGTATACCCCAGATGCTCTTGAAAATTCGCCAATTAGATCAATTACCACAGATATCTGATTCTCATTTTGAATAAAAAGTGTAGTGTCATCTGCTAATTGTGTAATTTTTATCTCTCTATCAACAATAGTGATACCTCTCAGTGGGCTTGATTTAATATGAGAGGAAAGAAGCTGACTTACTAACAAAAAGAGGTATGGAGATACTGGGCACCCCTGCCTAATTCCTTTAGAAATGTCAAATCTAGGGGAAGTACCATTAAATAACTTTATAGAACAGTTGCCATTTTTGTAAAGAGTTTCAATTGCTGTAGAAAAAAAATTACCAAAATCAAATTTCTTTAGAGTATCAAGGATAAACTGATGTTCTATAGAATCAAATGCTTTACAAAAGTCTAAAAATAATATAAAGCCATTATCATTAATCAGATCTGAATAATCCAAAATGTCCAAAACGAATCATATATTATTTGTTATGTGACGATTTTTCATGAATCCCGATTGTGATTCATCAATTACTGAATCC